GACCATAGTGTTGGGGGATACCAGCCTCAATCGGCACAACCTACGTTGGTGAGTAGTGACTGTGGTCTTAAAGGCTTTCAAGTGGCCATCTAAGATGCAGCTAATGGTCTCCTATTGTCAGAAGCAAAGAAGAGTGCAAAAAAAAAAAAAAAAAAAAAAACCCAAGGGCATTTGGAAGCAATCAGCCCCGAGACACGATGGCCCTTGAGACCAGAAGAACTAGATGGTACCTGGCTACCAATACCAACCACTTGGGAAAGGATCAAAACTGGAGATCCTGGATAGGAGTGGGAGGAAAAACATGGAACAAAATCAAAAAACACAATAATGACCAGGTCAGATGGAGTCTGGTGGGACCCCCAATACTATGAAGCTGGGATACACTTTGGGCCTGGAATAAAACTCACTCCCAGGGGCTGGCTCTCAGCCCAATAGTAAACAAGATGTACACACAGACCACTCAACCCAGGGTGACGCACCCACATACTCTATGGAGATGCATCCCTTGGAGCAATCGACCACAGGGCACCAGAGGGGCAACATTCGCACAGAGGAAATGCAGGACACACAGGAGCAGATGACTATGAGGGGCACGGGGGTGGGGTAGGGAGGAGAGTGGGTTAGGGTTGGGGATGGTAATTGGGGAGTGAAACCAAACGTACACAAAATGTTGAACGTAAAACAAACTCTGCCCTGTAAACTTGCACCTAAAGCACAATTGGAAAAAAAAAAAGATGTGCATTCTTCCCCAGTGTTATTGTTCACCTTGTAGACATGTCTATTGTTAGGCTGGAAATTAAGCCACAAGAGTTAGTTCAATTCCAGGTTCAAAGGATGGCTGTTGTTGTTGTTGTTATGTGCCATCGACTCAGCCCCGACTCATAGCGACCCCTCCTTGGGTTGCCGAGGCAGTATCACTACAGAAGCAGTACTGCCCAACCTTCCTTCTGAGGAGTTGCTGGTGGGTTTGAACCACCAGCCTTCTGGTTAGCAGTCAAGTGCCTTAGGTACTATGCTACCAGAGCTCCTAAAGGATGACTAGGGGCATCATCTCAGGGATTCCACCAGTCTCTATGCCACCAGTAAGCCTGGGCCTTTTTTTTTTTTAAATCATTTTGAGCTTTGTTCTGTATTTTTCTCCCGCTCTATGGAAGATCTTCTAATGTGATACCTTTCATAGCCGCAGGTGGTGTAGCAGGGCACTAATTCTTCTGGTGTCAAGGTCTTGGTGGCTGAGATTCATTGGGGCCCATTACTCCTTTGGACTAATTGTTTACATGTGTCTTTGCTTTTCTTCACCTTTCTTTGCTCTAAATGTGGAGAGACCAATAGTTGCACCTTAGATGGCCACTCATAAGCTGTTAAGACCCCAGTTACTACTCACCAAAGCAGGATGCAGAACATTGTCTTTGTGGACTATGTTGTGCCAACTGACCTTGATGTCCCCCAACACTATGGTCCTGAGTCCTCAGGCCCAGTTACTCATTCTCTCAAGGTCTGTGGTTATGGGTAAGAAGTTTTCGTACCTTGTGTGCATCAAAAGACTTCTCCAAAAGAGTAAAAAGGACAACCCACAGAGTGGGAAAAAAATGGTGACAGTGACATATTGGACAGGGTGTCTCTAATATTTATAGAAAACTCCAACACCTCAGCCACAGAAAAACAAATAATCCAGTTTAAAAAATTGGCAGAGGACATGGACACTTGACCAAAGAAGATGTATGTTCTACTTCCTGTATGTTCTACTATATTCACAGATATATTTGCAGCACATGTAAATACGTGTGCAGAAATATCCCATCAAACCTATATATATTTGTGGGTATAGTCCCATTCCTTTTCCCACATGTGTTCAGCCTGCCTGTCCATCTACGTACCTATTCACAGATCATTGTTACTGCTGTTGTTGCAGGATTGTGTATGTAATAGTATTTAACTCTGCTGCCTTTAACTCTTTTTTGTGTTCCTCCCAGGGTCCTCTTTTGCCTTGATCATTGTGTGCTGACCTCCCCCTTATTACATATTACCTTCCCCTTCATCCAAGTTAGTACATGTCTACCCTCCAGTTAGTGATTTACTCTCCTTTCCCTTCCTACCCCTGGTAACCATCAAAGAATGTTTCTTTCTGAGTGAAAACCTTTTCTTGATTTTTTATAATACTGGTCTCTCATAGCATTTGTCCTTCAATGACTGGCTAATTTCACTCCGCATAATGTCCTCTAGGTACATCCATGTTATGTTTCACAGATTGATCATCATTGCTCATTAATGTTGCGGAGTATCCTACTGTTTCCATGTTCCATAGTTGGCTTATCCTTTCATCCATTAGTAGGGATTTAGGTTATTTCTATCTTTTTGCTTTTGTGCCTAAGGCATCTGACTGCTAGCCAGAAGGCTGGCAGTTCAAACCCACCAGCCACTCCTCAGAAGGAAGATTGGGCAATCTACATCCGTAGAGATACTGCCTCGGGAACTCAAGAAGGGGTTGCTATGAGTTGGAATCAACTCAAGGGCAGTGAGTTTGGTTGGTTTTGGTGCTACTGTGAGTAGTGCTGAGATGAACATGGGTGTGCACACAGCTATTTGTGACACAGCTCATGGAATCAACAAGGGTAGGAAATACACCTAGTAGTGGGATTAATGGATCATACAGTATTTCTATTTCTTACTTTTTAAGGAAGTGCCATACCGTTTTTCAAAGTGGTTGCACCATTTTACAATCCCACCAGCAGTGTATGAATGTTCCGGTCTCTACATCCTTGTCAGACTTTCTGTTTTTGAACTTTGCTCTTAATGCTGGGGTAATATGATTATTTCATTATTGTTTTGATTTGCATCTCTCTAACGGCAAATGGGGCGCTCTGGTAGCATAGTGCCTAAGGCACTTGACTGCTAACCAGAAGGTTGGCGGTTCAAACCCACCAGCCACTCCTCGGAAGGAAGGTTGGGCAATCTACTTCCATAGTGATACTGCCTCGGCAACCCGAGGAGGAGTCACTATGAGTTGGGTCCGACTGGACGGCACATAACAACAGCAAATGATCGCAAACATTTCTTCATGTGTTTCTTGGCCACTTGAATATCTTCTTTGGTCAAGTGTCCATGTCCTCTGCCAATTTTTTAAACTGGATTATTTGTTTTTCTGTGGCTGAGGTGTTGGAGTTTTCTATAAATATTAGAGACACCCTGTCCAATATGTCACTGTCACCATTTTTTTCCCACTCTGTGGGTTGTCCTTTTTACTCTTTTGGAGAAGTCTTTTGATGCACACAAGGTTCTAATTTTTAGGAGGGGGTTACTTCTTGAACGCTTAGGAAATGAAGCTTACCACTTGCTTGCCCTTTGCCAGCTGTGGGTAACTTGGTAAACTGAGTCATGAGCCAGACAAAATGGCACCCCCACCAGTAGTGGCAGAGAGGGTGTAAAGCAGAGAGTGGGGTAAGGCAGGACAGGGGCCAGCTGGAGAACATGAACTTTGCACAAGATTCAGATGGTAGTTGCTGTGAGGAAACTTGGGCACAGAGTTCACGCATCTTCTGATTTTTCAAGTCTAGCTGGAAATCTGGGTTTTAAAAGGAAATACAGCTTTTTTTAAAGTTACTGATTTTCAAAAGAAGCACCTGAAATTTTTTTTTTTTTAAATCCAAAAACATTGAGGGCCAAACAAAACATATTAAGATAAAATTATGCCATGAGCTGCTACTTATGTTGAGATAAAAGACAGGATGTCGCTCCAGAAGTCAGAGTAAGCCAGGGCTGGTTTTAATAGTGTTTACGTCTGATGGAGGTCTTTGGGTGGCACAAATGGTATTCTCTTGGCCATTAACCAAAAAGTTGACAGTTTGAATCCACTCAGCAGTGCCACAAGAAGAAAGGCATGGTGACGTATTTCTGTAAGATAGCAGCAAGAAGACCCTGTGGAGAGGCTCTACTCTGAAGCACATAGTATTGTCATGAGTCCGAATCAACTCAAGTGCAATGGGTTTTTTTCTCTCATTTGATATATCAGATGACAAAAAGAAGCCCTAGTGGCGCAATGGTTAAGTGCTTGGCTGCTACCTAAAAGGTCACGGTTTGAACCTACCAGCTGCTCCATGGGAGAAAGATGTTGCAATCTTCTTCCATGAAGATTACATCCTCATAAACCCAATAGGGTGGTTCTACTCTGACCTACAGGGTTGCTATAAGTTGGAATCTACTCCATGACAACAGGTTGCCAGATGGCAAAGCAATTGTGCTATCTCTTCTGCAGGGGGTGCTCAAGGCTGTCTCCCTTCCAGCGATCTCTGGTCATGAGATGCTCAGCTCTAAGTTGTACCATCATGATACTATTTGATGTATCAAATATGTACCAAATATATACTATGATGTATCATGGTACCATCATTCTAAGTGGGAGAGGCTCAGGGGATCCAGGTTGGGGTTCTGGGTGCCTCCAAATCCCTGCCGACACTGGACAGAAGTGTGAAGCAACGGAGAGTGGACAGGGCTGGCAGTCAGGGTACTTGGGTTTTAGCTTCATATGGGAAGGAGACTCCTTTTTCACTACAAAGTAAACTCCACGACAGTAAGGACTTTGTCTTGTCCACCACCAGAACAGTGCCTGGCACAAGTTTGCACTTGGTAGATTGTTGCTGACTGAAATGAATGATTTGGGGACATCACTTAAACTGTGGGCTTTGGTCTTCCCATCAATGAAATGGGAATTAACAATGCCTACTAGATTTACCTTGAAGGGCTGCCATAATGAGATAATGGAAATGAAAGTGCTTGGGAAAAAGGTATCAAGGGCTATGGCAGTATGTAAACTATTTACTCTTTTCTCCTTGGCTGCTGGGAGGACCACTTCAGATCCTACATGAAAAAGGTCTGTCCACACCCTGCCTTCCTTCATCGTCAGCTCCTCTCTGGTTGCGCCAAACCAGCCCACAAGGAGGTTTCAAATTATCACTCCGATTTTCATTTCTACTTTACACAGGGGTAGAGAGACCACATGGTACCTTGCATTGTCCCGGCCGTGTGACTTCAGGAAATTCATATCTCGATATCGGGAGAGAAAGGCCACCAGCTGGTCATTTGTCCTGTGGAAACAAATGGAGAGCAAAGTCAGGGTCCTCCAGAGACCATGGGGACCTTTGAGTCTTGATTCCCTCCAATGTCACAGACATCGCCTTTCCCAGAGAGGGGGGCCTGTGACTCAGCTTGAGTCTCCTTTGCTGGCAGCACCCCACAGGCTGGGTAAGGCATCTTCATTCATTGTTATGAACACTGGGTCTCCCATACTATATTCAAATGGGCTGGCTGTGTGTCTGTCTCCTATATATTCCACCAGGACAAATATAGTATCCTATTTGTTCTGGGAATATCCAGTGCCCAGCACTGGGCTTGGCAAACACTAAGACATCAGTCATCAGTGTGTAGACCAATGCCCAATACACAGCAACCTCAGGATATCTGTACTTGCTGTGCCTGGGATAGTATATGCCATATCTTCCCAGTGCTGACCTGCTCTGGCCATCTGGGCCTCCTTAAAAATATCACTTCCTCAGAGAAGTCTTTTCTGTACATCCAACCTAACATCATGTCCCCCATCTTTATCACATCACCATTTACTTTACCGTCTGATCACTATTTGAATGCACTGAACTTGCCTAAGTTAAAATGTAAGCTCTGTGAGGGTAGGAACTGGCACACGTAGGGGCTACGTGAACATGTGTTGAATGCCACTGAATCAATCAAAGTGAGTTTGAATGGACTCCTTCCAATCCATTTTGAGGAATGAATGAATGAATCAAGTACTCAGTAACCACTGGGCTACTGATTGGGAGTGCTTTAAACAAGGTAAAATCCCATACAAATGGATGACACAGCTCCCAACATTGTTATCCCAAATTTACCACCATCAATCTCGGCACTAGCAGTGTAGTCACAGCTAATCAGCTCGAGCATACAGCTGTGACAGTATTTTAAAAGGCAGTCACACGGGTCTCCATCTGCCAGCCATGCACTTGCCTCTTCCGCTGAATAAACCCAAACAGGTAAACGGTGCTGATGTGACAGCTCCTTTATCATCAGACTGCTCTGCTCAAGGAATTGCACTTCAGAGGGAAAGGGTTAACCATCGTTCCAACTGGGAGAAGCTGTGAAAGCAGCGGAAAGGAAGAATGCCTCTCTGGGGAGACAAAGGCGTCCAGACATTTGGAAGGCGCACGCTGCCTTGGAACAGGATGCCTGGGCTCCACTGGCAGAATGACATGGGGACAGATCCTAGCCCCACTTTCAACCCAGCTATGTCCCAAAAAACCAAACCAAACCAGTTCCCATCGAGTTGATGCAGACTCATAGTGACCCCATGTGCTCCACAGGGTTTTCAAGGCTGTGTCCTTTGGGAAGCAGATTGCCAGCTCTTTCTTCTGAGGCACCTCTGGGCAGACTTGAACCGCCAACCTCCCAGTTACAATTAAGCACTGAACCATCTTTGCCATCTAGGGACTCCTAGCTGTGTTCAAGGATAAGTCGTTTAGTGTCTATGGATGGTGACCTTCTCTGACCTCACATGGCAGTGAGAATTAAACTGGTCCAGCACACAGCGGAGGTCACCACGTAGTTCTTTTCCAGTGCCATCGAGTGGATTCCAACCCCTGGTGGTGCAACGGTTAAGTGCTCGCTATTAACCAAAAGGTTGGTGGTTCAAACCTACCCAGCGACTCAGAGGGTCAAAGACCTGGCAAACTGCTCCAGTAACAAACAATTACAGCCTAGAAGGCCCTGTGGGGCTGTTCTACTTTGTCACAGGGAGTGGCTGAGTTGGAATTGACTCCATGGCACACAACAGCTACAACAGTTGGCCCTCCATGCATCTACAATGATTGGACAATAAAAACCCAAAACCAACCTGTTGCTGAGAAGTCAACTGTGACTCACTAAGACTTTATAGGACAGAGTAAAGAACTGCCCCATAGGGTTTCCAAAGCTGTAATCTTTAAGGAAGCAGACTGCCACATCTTTTTTCCTGTGGAGCCATTGGTGGGATTGAACTGCTAACTTTCCGTTAGCAGCTGAATGCTTAATCAGTGTGCCAACAGGGGTCTTAGATGGACAAGTGGGTTGATTTAAAGGCACATAGTAGGTGCACAGGAAATGCCAGCTGCTAGGTTCTTTCTACTTCCTGGCTGTTTGCTCCAAGCCACCCTCAACCCAGGCCCCCTCCTTCATTCCCCACAACTCCATCTTGCCACTCCAAGCTCCTGCTCTCTGACTGGATGACTCATGTTGACCAACTGGTAACTGCAGTAGAGGAGGCGCTGAGCAGGAAAGAGACGCTGCAGCAAAACTGAGAACTGCCCCTGGCTTGTCCTGCTGCGGAAATAAGCATCAATTCAAAAGCAGCGTTGATGCAGCTTCAGACGCCAGAACCACCCTGCGTGTCTGCAGCACAGTGGGCACACATGCAGGAAGCTAAGCCCTGTCCATGTGCACAAAGGTGGTCCTGGGAACAGACACAGAGGGGACTCCATGTGTCCAGACGACGGTGCTTCCAAGGTAAAACCCATGTGCATCCCAACACTGAGCTGCGTGGAGCCCATGTGGAAGAAGGCCTCGCTAAGTTGCTGGGTGAGGTAGAAACAAAGTCAGCTTATATATTTAAAAAAAAAAAAAAAAAAAAATGCAAGCAAACTATTTCTCTTCCCAAACCATAAAGAGGCTCATTCCATCTCGGTGCCTTAGTGGTTCTTATTTACCAGCCCTCCCTCTGCCACTCTCTGCGACAGTTCATTATTGTAGTCCTGATGAATACAGGACAAGTTAACCTCTGAATGGGTCCCGGCAGCACGAATAATAAATGGGGGCCTCTCCTAAGTGGGAGGGTTGGAGGGGCTGTCTGGGCCCCGGGGGCCCCCTCTCGTAAAGCCGTAGGCCTCCCAGGGTCAGCACAGCGGCTCCACTTGGCAGCCCCGGAAAGCGCCTTTCACGGCTGGGAGCTGGGGCTATTTTCACATTTACTGCTTCACCGAGTCCCCATCTGACGGGGATGAATAGGCATTTAGCGAATTTACTTAGTGATGCTTCCACATGAAATCGTCTCAAAAGATGACATCTTGGGGGAGAGGGGGTGGATGGGGAGGGGCCCTGGCTTCCAGGCCTGGAGCTTGTGGGTAAAGCTGCTTTTCAAAGCCCAGCATTGTGTGCTGGGCAAGGGCTCGAGCTGGCATTGGCTGGAAGGGTTGGGTGAGGGGACCCCTGCCTTCCCTCTCCCAGGGGCCCCGGCCCCCTTGCTCTGCCTGTGTGTAAAACACCTGCTTGGAATGCTAAAGCTTGTTTCCCCAATGCTCCAAAGGGAGAGCAGATTGGGCTGGGGACCAAGTTTTCCCATTGTTGCTTTCAGATGCCTGTCGATAATTGCCTCCATAATATTTAGTTCTCTCCAGATAATTAACAGCTTGAGATCTGTTGACATTTTACCCCATTCCAGTGTCTCTCTCTGTCTCTCCCCTCTTTATATATCCCTCTGTCTATCCATCTCCTTTTCCCTCTCTCCCTGTATCTCTCTATTCATCTTTCTCTTTCCCCCCCCCCCGCAACACACACATTTCTCTCTCTTCTCTTTGGTAGAGTTGTTTGCCCAGTGGCTCCGTCAACTCATGCCTGGTATCTATCTCTGTGTCTTTAACAATTTCATTCTACATTTTGCTGAAATTATTTGAAGACATGCCTCTTAGACTAGGTCAGCTTCTTGTGCCTGATTCATGATGGTGACTCTGGGGCCTGTCATTATAAGCACTGAGCCACTGAGAACTCTTTGTTGAAAGAGTTAAGTAAATAAGTACATATTAAAACGAACTCAGTGGAACCAAATGGAAATCTCTATGGAGAGGAATAAATACATGAATAAAATAAGCTCCCAAGCCACAACCATTTACTGATGGTACATCATACCCCAGACCCTGGGGCAGATCTGTTCCACACTTTATTGCATTTAATATACACAAACCAACAAAAAAACAAACCAGATGGTGTTGAGTCAATTTTGACTCATGGCAATCGATGCATGTCAGTGTACAACTGTCCTCCACACGGTTTCCAATGGTTGATATTTTTGGAAGTAGATCACCAGGCCTTCCTTCTGGGGTGTCTCTAGATGGGCATGAACCTCTGACCTTTGGGTTAGTAGCTGAGTGCGTTAACCATTTGCACCACCCAGGGACTCACATATATACAAAACCCATTAAAAACCAAACCTGTTGTTATTGAGTCAATTCTGACTCATAGCGACCCTTTAAGGACAAAGTAGATCTGCCCCATGGGGTTTCCAAGGCTGCAATCTTTATGGAAGCAAATTGCTACATCTCTCTTCCTCAGAGAGCTGGAATTGCCAACCTTTTGGTTAGCAGCTGAGCACTTAACCACTGTGCCACCAGAGCTCCTTACTATACACAAAAAATAAAAGACCAAATTCACTGCCATCGAGTCAATTCCAACTCATAGCAACCCCAGGTTTCCAAGGAGGTAAATCTTTATGGGAGCAGATTGCCCAGTTTTCCTTCCATGGAGTAACTGGTGGTTTGAACTGCAACCTTCTGGTTAACAGTCAAATGCCTTAGGCACTACGCTACCAGAGTTACTTACTATACACAAAGACCCTATGAAATAGGCAATTTTCATGCCCATTTTTGTAGACAGGGCAGCTGAGACCTGGAGGAGACAGCCATTTAGAAAAGAGCAGAACCAAGACTGGAACCTGGTTGTCAAAGCTCATGGTCTTCATGACTAGGATGCATCTACCAATGACAGAGAACGAACGAATGAATGATGAACGAATGAATCAGTGAATCCCATGAGCAGGAGAAAAAGATATGGGTGCTCTGAAGCCTTGCTACTTACCGAGTGGTCTGTGGGCCAGCAGCATCAGCTTCGCTGCCCCTAGAAATGGCATTCTTGAGACCTGCTGCACTAAAATGGGCCTTTAAGAGATGACGCAGGTCCCTTTCAAGTTTTCAGAAGCACAGCTTTCAGTGAAGTATGAATATCAGTGGTCAATTCTCTTCCTCTTTTCTTCTTCTTCTTCTCCCCAGACTTCACA